TTAAAATAAATATCAATTTTTATAATTTTTTATATAAATTTATTATAAAAAATATATTTATTATATCATTATCATGTAATTTAATGGCACAAGTTAGATAAATTTGAAAAAAAAAAAAAATTGTTCTGCCGGCAGAAGTTGAAACAGCAAAACGTTCTTTGAAATGCAATAGAAGGATACTTTTTTCATTTGGCCTTTCTTACTATCAAATCCTGCGGGCTACAAACAAAAGATCGAACTCAATACCACACACTGACACACGACTTGAATCAACATCATAACTAATTAAAGCCCAAGACTGCTGCAAGATTTAAAATCAGAAAAACCAAGCTAAGCTCCGAAAATTAATAAACACAGTACATTAGCTAGATCTAAGCCAGGACCTCAAAAAAGTTGACTGTTCAGCAGTCTCTCTCTACAATGACAAATGCTGAAATAATAACGAACTCAAACAGATAGATGAATTTTGGCAAAGAGAGAGAGAGAGAGAAAGAGAGATGGAATAAAACCTTGGTTGGGCGTGGCAATGTCCGGAGTGACAAATTCGTGGCGCCTGGGGATGTAATGATAGACTGGGACGTTCGGCATATCAAGTAATGCCTTCCAAGCTTCTCTGGCTGACTCTTTGTTCTTTATTAGATCAAACGCCTTTGCTCCACATGAAATCTTAATGGCATGTAGAGCTAAAGCATCCTTTTTAGTCCACACCCTCTCATTTGTTTCTTCAGTCGTCGGTCTTGGTTCAACAACATCCCAAACATCTTGAGCCACTAAGTAGTGTTTTATTAAAATGCTCCACCTTTCATAATTATCTTTTTTAAGATCTTCTGGTACAATCGTGCTCAGAGGCAGAGTAGCTGTTTCCATGTTAGCCTATGAAATATTTCACCATGCATAAAACTAATTAAATTCAGCACTATTTTCTTTTTGCAGAAGCATTTCAAATTACCCCAAAAAAATGACAATAAGCAGCATGGCATACGTGATGATAGAAAAACTGATGCCAACATATATAAAGGTGCTCTCAATCTGGTTAACGAAAAGAATTTGGTTAACTATAACATCCCAAATCCTACATTGGTGTTTATATTTTTGCTATTACTATATTGTCATTAAAATTATAAAAACAAAATTCAGTGATAAAATCATATATCCCACAACAATATGTAGTTAAAATAATAAATTTGAGAATAATAAAAAAAACTAAAATATTATTCAAATTAAATAATATGAGAAGTGATAAAAAAAGGTTAAATTTCAAGTAATTTACCTCATAAAAAAAGAAGCTAACTCTGCAAAAAAAAATTAAAAAAGAAAAACATTATTATACATAGGATCCCTGCATGCTATTAAAAAATTATTATTATTATTATTATTAACAACTTTCCAAATTATTATTATTATAATTAAAAAAAATTAAAAAAAGAAGCTAATCTTCTCAAGCTCCCTTAAATATTCTTCTACGGAACCAATCTGAGTTACATTTTTCCATTGTATCATAGGATGCAACATGTTATAATTAATCACCAAATCTCAAACTCATATAAAAAGTATACTCCTTCCAACAAAGGAACCCATTATGAATCTGACAGCAAATATGGCTGCAATTTAGTTGCAAATATGATGGAAATAAAGCTATCAAATGGCAGAAAAAATGTGCAGCAAGCTAAGCTGCAAATGTTGATTAAATGAAGCTGCAATGAACAGAAAATGAAATGCAAATGCAAATGAAATGAAGGCTGCAAAATCACAGCAAGCATGCTGCAAAAGTGGTTATCTTTTACTTATTTTAGATGTACTTTTATTATTGCTTTTTAATGTAGAAAAGCTGCTTAGACCAAAAAGAAAAAAAAGGAAAATTTTGAATTGTTTTTAGATTGTTTTCTTCCATATAAAACAGAGATTATTAATGAGAAGATCTGAGTTGGAGTGTTATACTCCTATCCAGTTTCATTTATGTTCAACTCTTCATCTTCCTCCTGATTGTCTCTCTATTGCTTTGTGAGAAAAAAAAAATCAACAGTTTGGCAGATCAAGCTATTGCCACGTTTACAGCATTTTGTTGTATGTCAACACTGTAAGTCTGTTGTAGAAGCCTTTTCCTACGTTAAACATCAAGAAGCTACTCCAAAATCTATACTAAAGAAAACCAAATTCCAAAGTTCACAGGCCTATACCAGAACTCTTCCACCTTTCGTACCTTTGCCTCCAAATGCTCAGAAGCTTATTTCCAATCCATAGAACTCAACTAAAATACCACCATTCACTCGCCAAAATAGTCCCTTTATCTCATTAGCCCCTAAAAATTAACCTCCCCAAAACCAAGGGAACCAAAAGGTTATTTATCATTATTTTTTTTTTTATTTTAACCTTATTTATTTCAATTAGTCATATTATTATCAGAAGTCTCTCTTTATCTACTTTTCAAGTGTAATATATGTATAAATTATCATTAAATTCCTAATTAGAAAAAAAAAAAAACAGTTATTTGAAACAATTAGAGTATTATCAACAAATTAGTGTTAAGAACAAACTTTTTTTAAAAAAATAAAACTGATATGTTCTTTTTCTGGTATGAGGTAAGTAAGAAAAGGATAAATTTTGTTATAAAGAAAAAGAACAAACAATTGTGTTCTTTTAAGGACGGGATAAATTCTGTCCTAAAGACAAGGAAAGAATAGAAAACAAAATTGGGTATCTTGCACTCAGAGTTCCTTAATGCTGACAAGGAATTGGAATTGTGGAAATGGTGTGTATTGCTAATGGTTGATTTGTGTGGTAGATTGATTGCTGAAATTTTGGGGAATGTCATTTTTTGGTCTACTCAGTGGTTGTTTGCCGGGAAATTAAAGGTTTTATATTTAGTTTGTGGATTTAAGTTGATGAGTTCAGCTTTGCGGGGAACGAAAGCTTTATCAAAAGCAGAAGTAGACAAGAAGAAACAAAAGGTCTTTCTACCTTCTCTTTTAAGCGGTAACATTTTCTTCCTCTTAACTTTCTTTTTCTGCAATTTCTCTTCTTTCTCATCCTGATTCTATCTCTATTTCTACCTTCTCTTCTGTATCAAAATCAAAGGGGAAAACAAAAATTAGGTGGGAAAACTAACCGTGGACGGTGTGCCGATTTCCAGGCAAGGTGCCGATGTTGTGATGTGGAGTCGGTGGAGTTTGGTTTTGGAGCACAGATCTACAAGAAGAACAGGGAATAGGCACTGTAAATCCAAGGAAAACCAAACAAAGAGCATCAAAATCTACCGAGAAAGCTGCAAAATTACCGTCACTGGCGTGGGGACTTGGAGAGCAGGACGTGCGCCGGTCAGCTACTCAGTGCAGCACGAACGGCGAAAGCTAACCTCGCCGGAGAAAAATGAAAAACAGAAGAAAATAGGGAAAGCGAGGAAAAGTGGGGAATAATGAACAACGACAGCCAAAGTTGTAGGCTATGCCCAGAATCCACAACAATTCCGTCGAATATGTTGAAGACATAACCCCAATAAGCTGTCCATTTATACTCGCCAGAAAAATGATCTATTATGATCAGTCCATTAACCCATAAAACTACAAACATGATCGAAAAAAAAAATCATAATCGGTAAAATTTTTGTTTTGTGTTTTGTCGATGGCCTGCGGAAAATCAGAACAGTCTTCCGCTTAAGACGTCCAGTCATTGGTTTTATGGTACCAATCAAAAGCCCACTTATTTAACAATTGTGATGAATGTTTGGTATCAAGATATTTTGGTATCAAGATATTACTATTTGCACCCTCCATTTATTTTTTTTTCGCGGTCAACAGCTTTCAAAATTTTTTTTCTCTATTCACACCCTCCACTTTTCAAAATTCGTGAAAAACCCAATATTTTAACGGGCCATCACGACACCGTTAAAAAATATATTACATGACACTCAAAAATTGCGTGACACTATGTAACGTTAGTAATCCAAAGTGGACGCCACGTATATAGTAAAAATAATAAAAAATTATAATATTACTAAACAATTACATAAATGGCATTTTTTCTTTTTTTTCTTTCCCCCCTCATCCTCGGCATCATCTTCACCATCCTCCATCTTCACAATCCTCTTCTTTCTCAATGGGTTCCTCGCGGGGAACCCAGTTCGGGTTCCTGCGCGGAACCCAGTTCTGGGCTCCTGCGCGGGGAACCCAGATCTGGGTTCCTCGCGTGGAACCCAGAACTGGGTTCCCGC